CGGTTTTTGACACCGGTACCTTACCTGATAAATCGTTGAAGAAGAAATACCGCCGGAAATTTCAGGTGGGATGGAGCCAGAGAGGTTCTTCTGAGTTCTGACTCTTTAGTAGAAAAATCATACAGCCCCCCATTGCCCCATGCACCGCCCAAGGATACACACCACAATTCCCAAGATGACGCTACCTCTCGTAATGAATAATCCGCTGCAGACTTTTTATTAGAAGTTTTTCTTCAATAAATTGGGTTGTTCCTTCTAATAATGTGGCCGCTCATGTATTGGCCAAATATGCCCTAATTATCAATCACATGCATAATTGTGTCCATATTTTTTACATTACGTTATCTTTTAAAATTGTAATTACAAGCAGTTGAATTAATGAAGCTTTTTTTTTTCTATCAGCAAAATTTGGACATTTTTATGGTTAGTTAGATAAAGAAAATTAGATGAAGAGCTACCCCTGTCTTGTGTAGTTCCTCAATTTTTTCTATTAAAAAAATAAAGAAAAATAGATGATATTCAAAAGGTATTTATATCATTTCTATGCCATTAACAGCTGATTAAAGATAGGTATTAAATTGACATATTTCGAAAATTTAATCATTAAATTGATAGATTTTAAAGTTTTGGGGTCAAAATGAGACTAAACCCAAAATACAAGGTACGCAATTTTCCCTAATATTAAAGATTTCCAAAACCCTGAAGAACCAATTGGCCTATTTGATCCCAACTGTTGAAACATGAAACCACTGATTTGCGACTAGGGTTGCATGCCGATTGGGCAGGATTTGATCCAATCCAATATTGGTCCATGTACTTGCTAATTTGGATTGCAAGAGGGCATGGAAGAATATGTCACTTCATATGCATCGGAGAGGAAAATTTTTTGTACAATATACAAAAGCAATGTGTTAGCTGTAAGGATTTCAATTTTTTTTTTTTCTTTCCTTTTTGTTATTCTTCTCCAATAAAATCAAGTGTGCTACAAATGTTTGTCTCGATCAACAGAGTCTAATTAACTCTGCAGAAAAAAAAAAAAAATTCCGTTGTTTTAACTTTTAACACAATCATCTACCACTGATTTGGATAAGCTTCTCTGTATTTTGCATCTTCCCCCGTCGGTTGTCTTGCTGTAACACCCGTTGCAGTTGCACGGGTTTTCAAGAGTCTCTGAGACAATCTATCTTTAGCCGTTACTTTCTTACGCAGCATTGATGCCAGTGTTTGTTTCTTCTCTCTAACTGCATGCTTACTCCCACTGACCACTTCCACATCTCCAAGGATTTCAGATCGCGAGGTTGACGTAATTGCAGCGTTGCATAGAACCGCTTCATTGTGTTTGCGAACCTTGGCAAGCTTTGCACGCTTTATTGATTGTCTATCATTTTCCTTCTTCTTTGCTTCCTCCATGTCTCTATCCCGCACATTCTTCACTGCCTGTTTCATCAATTGTTCAATCACTTTGCTCCCCAAATCAAGAGTTTCCTCATCAGTTAATGGATTTTCATTGATAGGATTCCCTTTGGCATCTCGGAATACGATGGGCCCATGAAATGGGCAAACTTTCAGGTCCCTCCTCTGACAAAGTCCACCTTTGCTCAAAGGAGCACGGCACGGTTGGATTTCAACATGTGCTTCTTTGTATAGAGTTGCTTGAACATTCAACTCAGCAATTTTTTCTGCTGGAATAACAGCATCATAGTCTACCCTACCCCAGTGACCTTCGATCTCCAGTCCTCTCTGGTTAGCCAAAACATCTCGATTTGATCCCCAATTGTCAAGGAAAGAACCCCAGGTTATCACTGGAGCTTCAGCCAAAAGCTTCCTCCTGAGATATGCTGAATCGGATCCATTTCCTTCATCATCCAAGAACTCCCCTCCCTTCAATTCTTTACTGCAGTCGGTGTATTTGTTCTTTCCATCATTCATAGTTGAAGTACTGGGAAGATGTTCACTTGCCTTTCTTGGTATGCTAGAATTCCCATGTTCATACACTTCTACCTTGCCCTCCTCCCAAAGAACCTCTTCCTCCCGATCCCCAGTGCTTGGATGAGTAAGACCCGAGTGTTCACATTTTTTCTTCACTGACATAAGGTGATTTCGAATATCAATTAATTCTTTTAGGGTAGAATCTCTGAATCTTTTGTCTTCTGGTTCAACCCTGACAAGAACAGAGATCCATTCTTGCACAGACACCAAATGCCTCGTCACTAACAGCTTGTACAGTTCCCTCAATACATCAAAAACCACTTTATTGTCACTGTTTTCCCGAACCTTTTCCCCTTCTTTCAATGAATCAAGACGGATTTGCTGCAAAGCAGAACAGCGGAACTCTTCAACATCATCTTCCTCTGTGGTACATGTTGGCATGCATGTATCTTCTTTAGTGCTAACAATATCTAAACATTCTCCTATCTCATCAACTGTAGACTGTATTTCAGTCCTGATAGAAGAAAGATTTTCCCTTAGGATTTCAAACTTTTTCAGTAATATTTCCCTTGACCTAGCCTCTCTTTCCTGTCTCTGTTGCTGTAACCGAGCTGCATTTTGCTGAAGATTTGGGAATTGAAACCGCAGGGTGTTTTTCAAGTAGTCAAACCCTAATCTGAGTTGTCTGTAATGAACCCCAAATGCAACATTCCACTTCTCCAAAAATTCTATAGCTTTAGATCGTAGAATGGATGCAATTGGAGCAGGTGCAGGGAGTGGCAGGTTCCTTCTGAATCCAACACTCAAACTTAGAAACTTATCAAAGTTAACAACAAGGAGGGACCTAAATAGCTTCGATCTCATGAACAGTTGATCAACTATAAGAAGCGCAAGGTATCTAACCTGCTAAGGCATATTATTCAAAATTAAATCAGTAAACTGTATTCAAATATGAAACTAGAACAAATTAAAAATCTAATTAATGAAATGCAATTTCCAGTCTTCAACAGTTAACACTTTAATAAGAATATCACTAGTTAAAGTTAATACATTTCTCTTGCTCTGGGTTTAATGTTTAATTTAGCCAGAACACCTTATTCTTAGAGTTTCAAACTTGAAGCTCTTGTTCACAGTTCAAAGATATGGAAACCAAATCCTACAACATTAGTGTCAACCCAAGAGTAAGGCAATACAATACTAAATAACCATGACAATATTTGACACCCTAAGCTTAAGGCAAGGCTGAAGGAAACATAAAAAGAATCAATTTGGCATTCCTTATGAAGAAGCCTTGAGATCATGGTTCAGATATAAATGACACAAGAAACAATCATATTAAAATTTAAATTATATCTTTTAATGCAATAAAATATAAAAGATAGTATACATGATAAAATATACAATTTCTACTAGGCTAGGAAATAAAATTAGTTTAAATAGAGCTTCTTTCTAAGCTCTGATAGATTTCATCTGACATCTGATTACAATGCATTAAATGGAATTAGGAAGACGGGATCTCCTGAAAGCAAAAACTCTGCACACACTCTAAAAGGCACTGGAATCCATGATCCACCCGCACACTGGGAACATCTCCCATGAATTTAACATGTACGAGAGATATTCTCAATATGCGGCTGGAAGCCGTGTGCGCAGAGTTTTTCTTTCAGGAGATCCGGGCTCATTGTTTCCAACTGGTTCGACACGGTTACTAGCAAACGCTTTTAAGAACACTTAGATCTGCCAAGCGTGGTTATGTAATCTTTAAAAGTATATATAATCCTGATGGTGTATTTGATGGATTCAAGATGGCCATGACTATTTACCAGCTAAATGCCACATTAATGATTAGAATATAAATTTTCTCAGCAGTGATCATGGCAAAATGAATACCTAGATGTCTTTTGTTTCTCTGTTGATCATCGAAGGAAACCACAAACCAGAACCTATACAACTTTGGAATCCAATGGTGTCTGCGGAAAATAATCTGAATATAATGAAAATAAAAAAGAAGCACCTGAGAGTGGTCTCTCTTCATCTTCTCCATTAGGGTTTCGGCAGCAAGCCGAACCTCGGCGTCAGAAGAACGAACGACCAATTTGATCGCTTTAAGAAGGCGAGGATCCACCTCTGGGGCTGTTGAGTTGGTTGCCTTCTCAATTAAGGTATTCACCTTCCCTCCACTTTCCCCCATTGCTGCTTCAGTTTTTCCCTTTCTCCTCCGAGACCGCAGCGGAACACACCATTCGCAATTTCGTGTCAGTCGAGTATCTCTGTCTCATGCTCTGATCCTCCGACGAAGACCGAGGGGTCACACAGCTTATCTGATCCATCGGACAATATGACCGTCGGATGTTACTAATTCCTTTTGAATAGTGATAATCCCCAATCTGACGGTATATAGTGGTGTACAGAAGGATTACATATATTATATAGCGTAATCTCAACGATCCAATCCTTTGGACCCGCACAAATTAGTGCCAAAATCCCAACTACCATAACTGCCACCGGTATAATGAGAGTTCGGATCTGCTGACCACCATACATTGCTGGACACGCGCATCATGCCGCACATTAGGAACATTGGTTATACTTTAAAATATCGATATTCCCAATGTATAACTAGATACACATGTCCAGCAATATGTTGTGATCAACAGATCTGGACCCGTACGATGGTATCTTCTGAAGAGAAGCTTGGTCCCCCCTAAAAAGCATAGATTTAATATTAGTATCTTCTCTTTTGGGTTTAGTCCCAGTTTATTTCAAAACGTGTCAATCTAGTATTTGAACTTTTAAAATGTCCTAGTTTAATCCTTGTGTTAGTAGTTCGTCAATTATTTATATCACGTGCTGACATATGTGACTTAAAACTTTTGAAAATATCAAAATTATCCTTTGAAGTAGGACATTATTTATCATTTTCCTCAAAAATCAAGATTGAACCAAAGCAATGGTGAACAATTCAAAGGATATTTCGATTTGGGCATCGGGATGGTTAATAAAGAAAATTAGATGACACTCAAAGGGCATTTGTATCTTTTCACCTGCCACTTAAAGGGCAGTTAATGCTTTTGGACTAAACTAGGATGTTTTGGGAGTTTAGGTACTGTACTGGCACATTTTGAAATTTGGATATCAAAGTGAGGCTAGGTCTGAAGTATAGGTTACTAATATGCAATTTACCAAAAAAGAAAGAAGATATCTTTTGAAGAGAGAGAGAGAGAGGTATCAAATTTATTAATTTTGTCAACCTATGAATTTGTATTTCCTTTTTTATTTTATATATTCTCAGATATTTATTTCAAGCTCAATTAGTGTGGAAAATAATAAATTAACTAAAGTAGAGACATGAGATGAGAAGCAACCAAAAAAGCAGATTTATGTGATTCAGCTTATAGCCTATGCACACAGGGACAGGGGATGGAAGAGCAGACTGTGGAAAATGGCAATAGAGGATACAAAGTTGGATAAACCCCAACAAAAAGCACACACTCTCTTCTCTTCAGTTCAAATGCAAAATACAAATGAGATACATATTTGAGGAAACCCTAGAAACATAACATATTTGGGCCAGACCCATAAACAGAAAATCATAAAGTGGGTTGGGTGTACTCCCATAAACTAGAATCTGAAAGGTTTCTTCAAATCAAATTTCAACTTCAAGCTGGTTGCGCTAAATAGAACAAATGACTGTTATACCAAGAGTTAGCACGCCTACAGTTCTGAGTGGTTTTAATGGTTTCATTCCCGAAAGGCATATTTCATGACACAAGGATGAAGTGAATTGTTCTTGGGTTTCAGAGTCATTTCTGATTTGAAACCCCAATTCTGAAAGTCATAATCTTATTGGAGTCAATAGTTGTTGATACTCTGGGGTTTGAACTGATTTGTATGGAAACATCTTGCTTCTAAATGCTATTTTGTTTCTTCATGTTTCTGTATGAATTCTGATGAGTTATGGGCAGCTTATCTTTTCAGGTCATCAATTGAGACTTTGGGAGTGAACAATGAACGTCTAGGCTCCAAGCTTCAACCACTGGAGAAAGCAGCAGAGCTTGTCAAGACTTTTGACATGGGCCCATATAACAAAGCTTTTCCATAACTAAAGTTTCTGCAACATCTCTTTGTCATTGTGTATTCCCAATGAACAGATCCAATCACTGGTTTCTGATCCATTACAAGCCACATTCAAATCCTGATATCCAATCACCGGTTTCTTAGATTTTTCCTTGTTTCCAGAGAATACTCTTGAGTTTCAACTATACTGATCCAAAGTATGGATTGCACTACACAAATATGATTTTCTTGTCGTTTCTTTGAACTTTTCTTCCTTTTCCATTGGCTTTTACAACTTCCTACTGCTTGTCACAGAAACTAGCTGGTCTTCACAGGGCAGCCCCTTCATTAGAGAATGCTGCCAACTTTAATCAGAGATTTGTTCAACATGTGATGCCTAGTAAACCAATAAAGGACACTCCATTGAAGCCTGGTGTCCCAGTTCCAACATTTATCTTCTCTCTGTTTAACAAGAATCAGGAAATTAGTGCACCAATATAATAGAGAAGCACTTGGATCTGCCGATCTGCTATACACAAATGGCACAAGAAAGTATTGTCTCCGTTTGCCAAATATCCAAACTCGGAAGTTAGTAGTAGATGGAGGAAGATCTATCAAATTTCAGAGGAGATATGTCTAGTACCATCTGACTGTGGAAAGACACAAGATTCATTCATTCTTAATTTCTGTTCTTGGGGTGTGGACAACAATTCCAAAGAATCTTCTTTCATTTTCAAGCGTCAGGAAAGCTAAGAAATAAACATGTCTGTCAGTGCATCTGCAGAGAATAATGTTTATATAAGGTATGCTAACCCACTCCAAGTTTGACAACTAGTTAAGAATTGAACTTGAAATCACTCTTACCCATGCATCATACTGCCCTTATGGTTTCAAGATTGTCTTACACCCTCAGGGTCAAAGGTTCAAGTGTTGGTAGAGATGAGTGAGAGGAACCAAATCATAAGAGCACTGACTCAGTACATCCAGATTGTTTCAATGAATTTTGTTAATAATTTTCTCCACTTTCTCTGAATTATCAGATGAACCAACCTATACTGATTTCCAAGTGCTATTGTGCGCTTCAAAGGTCATCATTCAAAGAATTTCAAGCTGACTTCTGATGGAGAGACATGACCTGAGTTTGGAGTTTCAGATTATATAAATTGAAACAGTCTGAGACTCTGAGGCACACCTTCCTTGATTTTCAAAGTATTATTCGCCTGCAGTAGAGTTCGGATCTAGTCCCAACACAGGGTCCTAACAGCCATTGCAGCCGTGCATTGGGAACATCCCCCTTGTCCTTCATGGTGAGATGTCCCCAATGTACAAGTGCAATGGCTTTTGTGACCGGTTGTTAGGACTCCCTGCACTAATTTATTAGATGTTATTAACCTTTTTTTGATCACATGTATGTATATATGTATGTATGTATGCGTAAGAAACCCACCAAGGGTAGTTTTATTCGATTTGTGTCAGCCAATGATCCAATCCTAAGTGGCCATACATGCCTAGTTTGTCTTCCTTTGAGTTCCAGTTTGTAATTCTTAATTTTTTAGCAAATATATTTAAAAATCTTATCATCCTTTGTTCGTTGACTTATGATTTAATAGTCTTTTTCTAAAAACTAAAAGAATACTTGTTAATTATTTTATCTCCGTGATTTTACATTTTTCAAATTTTATTTTTAGTATGTGACAATTGGAACCAGAAAACCTTAGGGCTAAGAGGTCATTTTATGACAGCTGAAGTGGTTGAACTGAAAAGCTTATTATTGCTTTGTCTTTTGGTGAATAAGATTTTAAGAAGGTTTGTGAGCTCCTTAATAGCTGAAACTGGACTTGGTATCCACCAATATTAAAAGACAAAGCATAGCTCTTTCAGTTCATCAGCTTTAGTAATTATTAAATGGCCCCTGAAGGAATTTTTTTGGTAAGAACTCGGATTCATGGGAGATATCTCTGTACTTATATATTTTTATTCAGGAGTTGTTCTCAGTGCACAGTAAGCATTTTACAGTGCTTTAGTATGGCAACTTTTGGCCCGTTAGCACAACTTTTGATTTCAGCAAGAACTTGAAGGATGAGACCCATATCATAATCATACAATTGGGATTTGGTCCTCACAGAACTGTCTCGACAGTCATTTGCAGCTGTGCATTGGGAACACGTTTGTAATTGTATATATTTTTGGGTAAACTACAAAGACCTCCTTCTACTACAGGGTCAATGACAAAGATCAACTTTTACATTGTGACAAATAACCCCTCAGCCATTAAGTCAGATGACAAAAAGCATTAAATTACCAAAGTACCCCACTAAACTTTCTCTATTTTTTTTTCTTGCCATTCTCTCTTAAAACCTAACTGACCCAAAAGTACCTTTAGTCGTCTCAAAAAAGGAAAAAATCTGACTTTCTTTGATGAAAAAACTGACTTTCTCACTAGCAATCATCGCTAGAAAAGGAAAAAAATCTCCGACAAATTCATTGGTGGTCTCCTCCCATTCCTCTCTCTCTCTCTCTCTCTCGTTCAAACACTAAAATCCTTGACATAGGGTGTAAGTGGCAGCCTAATAACTTCACAGTGCAAAATTAAAGGGATGGTTTGATCTTGATTCTGTTCATTCCACTGATATCCCACATATCATGATCACTAAGAAGACAAATTTTCAATGGGTTTATTGTTTTCTAAGAATTTAAATCCCTCAACCACCGACATCTGGTATACCTACATTCTCATCACTTGTGCTTCTGCATAGTTTATATAGGCATCTTGTATACTTACGTTCTTTGCTCGTCTCCTCGGTGTTTATGATGCTTTAATTGCATAGCACTGTTCATACCACCCTAAAGATATTGATCAAGTTCTCAAATTCCATCTTCTAACATTCAGGAACGATGATGGTGGATATATAGATCCAATTAATAAAGGTTTTTTCCCCTTGGGGATCTTTTTTCCACCTAAAAGAATTTTTGATACTCATCACTACAACCTATCCCAACATGATAAATTCCATCAAATCCGTATATATTTTGAAAGTATACAAAGATAAATTTCATTTCAACTAAGCATCTGAGTCATCTTTTCCCTATTAGGATAGGGAGAATAAGAGAAATCATATTTGCCCTCTTTTGTAATTCATAAAAGGAGGGATCACCGGAAAATGGAGCTTGGTGAGGAGGGATCAGTACACCTACCCGGTGTTCCAAGTAGGACCTAGGATATGCTTAGGGAAAGACAAGGCATTCTTGCAGATGAAGTAGGTGGTGGTCAGTGTTTTATGGCGGTTTCAAGTTGTGTGGCAATGGAGAAAGGTTGTGAACTAGTTTTTATTTTTTGTCATAAAGGTTGGTTTCAAGTGAGGATAGAAGAAAAAGAAGGAAGCAGGTCTTTAGAAAACTTTAAACATTCATATGAGAATCTTTTTCGAAATTAACCGAGGAACGCTAAAGGAGGGGGTCTTTGTTTAACGGCCAAAGTTCAGAGGATTTTGTGGCAAAAAAGTGTAAGGGGTCTTTGTCACAATACATGGGGGTTTCCTTGTAATTTACCCTATATTTTTTATAGGGAGATATTCCAGACGGACTTAGAGGACAGTCTGTGTATACTTGACTCTCACCCGGAACACCGGTTCGAATCCCCGACAACGGAATGTTTTCTACTAGAAATTTATTGAAGAAAGGCAGTGGATGGGAGGTGCGTAATGGCGAAGATTAAAGCTTTTGGGAAACAATTGGGCTGATGATACTCTTCTGGATTATTGGGGACGTGCTACCCGAGAGCCATGTAGACCCTCTTGTATCTTTTGATTTATCAAAAAAAAAAAAGGTAGGACGGGTCTGTGAGGACCACATCCAATGCAATTTCATCATCTATAATATTTGAACAATGAGAGTCAAAAAGAGATTCCAATTTTATTTTTCTTAACTCCAGACTCTTAATAGTTCAAGAAGTAAAGGTGTGAGMGTACCATTCCAAGGACATCGCATGCATCCTCCATTATTTTCACCCTTTGAGTCCCTACTAACACCCCCCAGCAAGACCTAGTCACCTACTTAATAACTGCTATCACTACTAATTTATGGCCTTTTTAAATGACAAAAGGAGGAGATATAATACCTCCTTAAAATCAAATAAGCACAGGTCCATTCATATTTTGTAATGAAACTTAATTAATTATAATGGGGTAATGAAAATTGAACACTAAATCATTTTGTCAAAAATAACTCTAATATATTCTCTAACAATATCCAACACAAAGTCATAACCTAACAATGGCAGCAACCCATGTGACCCATCAATATTTAAATCAAATTCCGATGCCCCCTGTGGATGAAAATAGAAATGCTTCATTGGGATGCATCCTTAAAAATGCTGAACTGAGTATATACAGTCTGCGTGTAATGTTATTCGAGCAAGGGCTAAACCCACATAACCATGTGTCATTGTGTGTCACATGAGAGAGACAAAATTACAAATACAATACAGAGAGAGAAAACTCCGAAGTCCAATGACCAATCCCAATCTAGAATCAAGCGCTTATTTTGGTTAGTTTTTTTTTTTTTAAGGTCCCGAATTCCACTACTTTTTTACATGGCGCAAAGAAGTTCCCGCTAGATCGGGAGTAAATGGCCAAAACTGACCAGGTCTAATGCACTATTATGGGATGGCCCTTCTCCAACTCTCGCTCCTACTCAAATACAGACCGTTGTTCTTCTTTTCTTTTTTCAACGACCGACCGATCGATTCCTCCTGCAAAACAAAAAAAAAAAAAACACTGTAGCACCCTGAAACCCCCTTCCCTCTTCCTTAATGCGACAAAATTTCAAATTTCTTGATGAATGAGATATGAAGAAAGTTCGAGATGCCTCCATAAGTATCAATAACACCACCAACAGCAGCAGAAAGAGCTTTTACGAGCTCTCCTTCTCTTTGATCTTCTCTTTCTGGTGTCTTCTCTTCCTCTTCTATTCTAGACTCGGCCATAGCCACAGAAACGGAGGTAACATCCATCCCCCTTCTCTGTTTTTTATTCCAATGCTTTGCCCCGTCTCGCATTTCCCTTTTCTAACAACACCAATTTCTTTTTCCCTTTCTTTTCTTCATTTTTTTTTTGTTAAATCCTTTGTTACGTATGATCTTCATCTTTTTTCCTTCTTAAATCCTTTGTTTTAATATTTTAAATCGTCAGCTCTTTCATTTCTGCTTTCCATTCTCGCTTTATTTACGAGAAGGTTGTTAGGATTTAGGAAACATATCGGAAATCGTATTTCCGCAATTTTACTTGCATAACGAATACTGAATGCTTGCGTTGTCAATCCAAATTAAGAACAAATATATGAAAAAGATAGAAAACATCATCAACTGCTAGCAATTATTTTTATACTGAGACTTAATTACGCAATTTATTGATTGCATTTGTCACATTTTTTCTTAGTATTTTCCCTGTGAAGCTTACGTCTTGATAGAATGATGCCAACCTCTTCACAGTGGTTATAACAGTGAATTTTGCAACTATGCAGATTCATGCATTGCAGATAGAAGTGATAGTTGTGTGAACGGTATGCTGCTAGAGTTTAATCTTTCTATTGACAGTAACAGTTCCACGGTTCGTGATTATAATACTGCAGATTCCAACTTCTCAATTCGAGAGACAAAGAGTTTAGAAGAAGTAGTGTGGAATATTCTAGGTTACAGATCCTTAGCAGGTAGAGAACAACAACAACAACAAGAACGGAGCACTAACAAACAAGAACAGGAGAAGAACGACAAGGCATCACGTCCAACCTATGTTGATCTTGATGATTTTCGAAACAAAACCATGCAAGGAAAAGAGCGGGATGCACATATTCATCTTAGAAACATTACCCACCGGTTGGAGACAGATGGAACAGAATATAACTATGCCTCTGCATCCAAGGGGGCAAAAGTATTGGCTCATAATAAAGAAGCAAAAGGAGCAAGTAATATCTTGGGGGGCGATAAGGACAAGTACCTGCGGAACCCATGCACGGTGGGAAAGAAATTTGTTGTGATTGAACTTGCTGAGGAAACATTGGTTGATGCAGTCAAGATTGCAAACTTTGAACATCATTCTTCAAATTTCAAGGATTTTGTATTATCAGGTAGCTTGAGTTATCCAACTGAGACATGGACCCCACTGGGGAATTTTGTTGCTGCAAATGTTAAGCATGCACAGAGGTTCATGCTGCCTGAACCTAAATGGGTTAGGTACTTGAAGTTGAAGTTACTTAGCCATTATGGGTCAGAATTCTACTGCACATTAAGTATATTAGAGGTTTATGGGGTTGATGCAATTGAGAGGATGCTTGAGGATCTAATTGAGGTTTCTGAAGAACCGGGTTCTGATCAGTCTTCAAGTCCTAATATGATTGGAACACTGTCTCCAAGGTTAGAACCAGGTCCTATTGACAAGGATGAAACAATTCAAGTTCACAATGGGGTAGATTCTGCTAGCAAAGGGATAGACAACAGTGATAATGGGCAAAGGCCGAATACAGATGCCATAAAGAATGCAGTCTCAAAAAGTAATATTCCGGATCCGGTTAAGGAAGTGAGGCAACAGCCAAATGGGAGAATACCTGGTGACACTGTTCTGAAGATTTTGATGCAGAAGCTTAGGTCTCTTGAGCTAAATCTTTCTGTGCTGGAGGAGTATATCAAAGAATTGAACCGAAGACAAGGGGATGTTTTGCCGGAACTTGATAAGGAGATGTCTCGAAATGCCTTGCTTCTGAGCGAAATGAAATCTGAAATTAAGGATCTCATGGCATGGAAAGATATTATGGTATGGAATCCTCTATTCATTGCTATGTTGTTGTTGATTAAAACTTTCCAATACGAACTTTGAATACCCTTAGGATTAATTTGGCCTCTCTCTGTCCCTTTTCTGTTCTTTTTTTTCCAGGAAAAAACAATTTGTGATCTGGACTCTTGGAAACTAGTTGTGTCATCTCGCATTGATACTCTGGTCAGAGATAATAGCATTCTAAGGTCAGGATATGTGATGTTTTGCCTACCTAATTGTTCTAATCCTTTATTTTATTTTTGCTCAATAAGTACAAATTTTGTCAAGGAAAAAGGGGAATATAAACCAAAGTCTCAATAAAAGAGATCCAAACAAGAGTAAAATCCCAAAGATAAGTTCAAGTGGTGCCTGTGCAGGCAAAGGAGAACCTTAATACAACAACTGTCTCTTGACACCCTCTGTATTGAGCCTATCAGCAGAGTAATTGGTGGATCTTGATGTCCATCATTCAACCTAACAGCTAAAGGCATTGCCTCCATAATATACCTTAATCACCAAAAGCTTCATTCATCCAACTTATATATGACCTAGGAATTTCCCTCAATGACAACAAAGTCCATAGAGAAAGAATGGCCTTGAAGGAGGAAGATAACATGTACCTTAATCTTTTCTTTTCTTTTTTTGGAATGCAAACATGTGCCCTAATCAAATCCCCATCTTCAGGCCCTTAGTAAGATAGGATCGCGCTTCCTCTACTGTCTCTATCCTTCTCCCCCACCCAACAGAGAGAGAGAGAGAGAGAGAGATTACCAAAATAGCAGTGAACCACCACTCATGATTCAATGTGCCAACTGAAATGCCTTTACATTTTCGCCTCTTGCAACCAATAAATAAAACTGATGTAATCATGATTAAGACCAATATTTTAAAACCCACAATTAGGGGTCCTCATGGTTTGGTTAACTAAACCGTGGGTCATATTTTGGAACCGAACCGGTACTACCGGTTTTTGGAAAACCGGTAACTGGAACCGAACCGAAGCCAGTCGGTTAACTGGTTGACCGGTTTGGTTAACCGTCGGTTCAGTTTGTCGGCTTTTTGGTTTTTTAATTTTTACAATATATATTATAAAATATATAAATATATATAAAATATTATGTTTTAAATAATAAATAATATACAATATATTATAAATATATATTTATATATATTGCATATTTATTAATTTATAATATATAAAATATATGTACACCGGTCAATTCGACTAACCGCCGGTTTTCTATATTGGTTAACGGAAACTGAACTGGTACCTTCGGTTTTTCAAAAACACCGAACCGAAACTGAACCGACCAGTTTGGTTAACTGATTTTTCGGTTCGGTTTTTCGGTTTTTTTGCTCACCCCTACCCACAATGGCCAAAGCTGGATGGGTGGTGGGTTTGGAAGTTCAACTGTCGGTTATCTTATTGACCTGGTTAAAACCATAAAAGTCTAGGACCTGGTTGGCTGTCCAGCTCACCAGTTCAACTTCCCAAAACACTAATCAAGACCTCGTGAAGGTTATCTATATGTTTTGGAATACCATGCCATTTTTCTTCTCTCATATCTATACTATTATAAAGTGGATACTTACCTTGGTTTTGGTGCAGATCATAAAAGTTAAATTTAATTATATAATGTAAACTTATCTTACCCTCTACTTGTACACATGCATAGCGTGTGAACTTACACTAGTCCCTTCTAACGTTGCTTGTGGTATGCATATTGTCATTGCCTTTGGAATTGAATGGGGGTTGATGCTAATCTAGCAAGAAATCCTACATGTGAAAATAATCCCAAATTGGAAATATGTTCTCCAGATCTCTCTCAGTTTCCTTCAAAGCTTTTTTATGTGTTAGCTCACATTACAAAGTTTTAACCTTGGGAAGAACAGGGGCCCTTCCAGACTACCTTAGGGGAAAAGCATGGGGACCACAGGCCATCATATATAGAACTTCAAAAATGATGGATTTATGGAGTAAATCTAAAATACTTGTAATATCAGGGCTTTTTTTATTCCTTAAATCCTTATGGAAGCCCAGGTTCCAAGAGATACCAGGCCCATCATGTGCAAGGAAGAAATGGCTGACCATAGAATTAAGAATGGGGTAGATACTAGGAAACTTCTCATTGGAACAAACCACCCTTCCAAAGATCTTCCTAAATAATTTGATTGTATGTAACGGCATAGTTTCATAGGTAACAAATCATAAAAAAAGGAGTAACAGAAGCAATGGCTTTCCAAGGGTAGACAAGAATACAGTTTATTGCACTTACACCAACCATTTTGATAATGAGCCTCCGTTTCTGCTTTTGATTGGTACATGATTTTGTGACATTGAGATTTCATAACCACCTCCATGTTCAGAGCTGCCTTTTTTTGTTCTTTTTTTATATCTAATTGTTTTCTTCTTCAGTCTTAGTTCTCTCATTTCTCTGTCAAGCCTTTCCCTTGTAAAACATCAACAGGGACCATCCATGAGGTGGCTGGCTGATAGATAAGGCAAATTGATTGTATGAGATGGAGGTCACAAGCTTTTTGCATTGATATTAGATGCAAAGCACTCTCGTACATATTCCTGTCATATAGTAGGCTTCACCCAAACAACTAATGGTTTGTAATGTGTTTGAGTTCCATATATATAGGGTTTACTCCACCTGTTCCTTGTAAACAGTCTGCAGTGCAACCTTGAGCTTCTCTCAACAGCAGAGTAAGTTGACACAGCGTTTAGGTTGGGTGGTCAGGACATTAGATTGAGGAAATTAATTTAGTAAATTTACTGGAACTCTACTTTGAATTTGAATTACTCTGTCCAGGACTTCCATAGCCACAAATGTAATGCAAGCAAGGGTTCATACCAAAAGAAAATGAGGCCCTGCTAAGGTGAATTAAGAATTATATTGCTGATCCTTTGGGTAATAGACATTTTACAGTCAAGAATTAGTTTTTCTTCTTTTTCTTGTTTACTTGGCATTTGTCTAGTCACATTACCAATCCTTTGAGCAGTGACCATGTAGCAGTCAGGAATATGTTTTCCTTTCCTTTTTTAGCCATACTTATATTCTATTTTATCTAATTATGCAGACTAGATGTTGAAAAGGTGTTACGCGACCAGGCAAATATGGAAAATAAAGAGCTGGCTGTGCTGGCTGTGAGTTTGTTCTTTGCATGTGTTGCAGTTCTCAGGCTAGCCCTGGAGAAGGCTTTTGTCTTATTTGGGGCCTCTCAGTCACATAATGCCTACAGCACAAGTAGAGGTTGGATTTTGATCCTGGTTAGCAGTAGCATGGCAACCATCATCACCTTACTTTATAACTAACCTCTCCCATCTTTAGCCCTAGATGATTAGATGTTCTCTAGATTATGTCAACTTAAGCTTGCTTTTTGGCCCCTGTTGTAATGTCTTGCTAGTATATAAAGATGAAAAAAGGTTATGCAGAAAATTCTTGTGCATTTCAGCAGGGATTTTTATTTTATTTATTTTATTTTATCCTTTTAGTACAATGAAATAGACCAGTGCTGGAAGTTTGAAAACCATTTTTATCATGGGAAGATAAAGGGGATGTTTGGTAACGTAGCTGTTTCTACTCGAAACGCTGTCACATCAACACCACCTAGGTGTTTTGAGTTCAGTTGTCAATTTTTTGTTTGGTTGAGACTGTTTTGAAGTAAAACAGTCCTAAAATGTTTATATTTGAAAGGAAAACCAGAGGGTGTTTCAAGAAGTATCAATTTAATGTTTCTTGTTTTGGGAAGCAAAGTCTCCGTGTCCCCACTGACATGGTACTAACATGGATGAAAACAAATTTCTCACCCGACACTATTCAAGTACAACAGTGGTGTTTATGGTTGAAGTATAAATGGCGTACAACTCAAAAACAGTGTAGGTTGAAACGCCAACGGTACGAAACACAACAAAAGTGTTTCAGGGAGGCTGAAACCAAGGGACAAAATGGATATCCCACATAAGCCCTGAAATGATGGTTCGTTGTATAACGGGACACGAGATTGTCTTTCACTCTTTTGTGAGTGGAGGTAGGGGTACAAGTCGGGCGGGTTGGGCCGGGTTTATAGTCAATCCAGGCCCCGACCTTAAAATTTGGGCTTAAGGCCTGAGCCTGAGGTCAAGCCCGAATTTCCCAACCCGAGCCCAGGTGGTCCTGTAATTTGATGCACTCGGACTGGGCTCGGGTTGGTCAATGAATCCACTCTAAAATTATGCATATAAATGTATTTATGTATATAATATATATATATATATATATATATATATATATTTATGTATGTATGAAAATATGTATACAAATGTTATATATACAAATATGTATGTATATATGTAAATATGTATGCAACATTTACATATATACATATATATATGTATAAAAATATATATAATTGGGTCGGGCTCGGGCTACCTAAGGGCTAGGCCTGAGCCCGACTCGAAAAATCAAAAAGGCTGACTTTTTGGGCCCGAGCCCAGCCTAAGGACCGAAAATGCAAGCCCTGCCCGTGTAAAATTCCGGGTTGGGTCAGTTCGGGCTTGGGTTGGGCCTGCCCAAGTTGCACCCCTAAGTGGAGGTTGGAGAAGTTGGAATTTGGTGACTGTTGACCAGAATATTTGAAGGAAAAATGACTTGTGTAACCTGACAATTGGGTTGGGTGGGTCGAGTTTGGGTTGGGTTGAATTTTGGGTTGGTTCAGCAAATGCTAGATCCTAACCCTAAATGTTTGGGTTAGGGTTGACCTTGTCAATTTAGGTCATCCCTAAAAATAATTGGAATTTTAAAAAATAAAGAAAAAAATATATGAAAATGCCAAAATAAAAGGAATTAAAATCAACCTTAAAATTCTAAACATAAAATAAAAAACTTGGAACATTCAACAAATCAAAGAGTAAAGGATAAAGAGTAGAGACTAAGGCTGCGTTTGAATGGGGTGTAAAAGTAAGTACACCTATGGAGTTGTACAACGATCGGTTTAAAGTTATGGACCATTGTAAACTGGAAAGTGTGATTATCGATGTAAATATTTACATATTTTTATTGAAGTTGTATGTACCGCCGATTATTGATGTTTAACTAAACTCCATCCAAACGTTAACAAAYATGGACCGGAGTGTTTAACAAAGGAGATGAGCAAGGATTTCTTTTAGATTGGTTCACCCCATGTACCGGTGGGCATGTTTGGGTTTTTTGACATTAATTTGGGTCTAAGTTAAGGTTCATATTTAAGTTGACCCTTAAACTAATTCAAAGCCTCTCATGTTTACAACTGTTACAAGTGAAATGTTAGTTACTTTAGGGAAAATTCCTGTTTAGTATCCTGTACTTTGGGCCTCTTGCCACTTCGGTCCCCGAACTTTAAAATGCGACATTTTAGTATTTGAACTTTTAAAACGTGACAATCAAGTACCTGTCGTTAACTAGTTGTTTACCAGATGTTAAGTGACATTTGAAAAAGACAAAAATACCCTTCAAGTGTTATTTAATTTTCTTTATTAACCATCTAAACATTGACAAAAAATTAACAGTCCCAAATTTTTGCCTTTTCCATTCAAAAAAGTTGGGGTCACGTTTGAATGGGCATTCTGGTGTCCCCAACTTTCTTGAATAGAAGAGGCAAGAATTTGAGACTATTAATTTTTTGTCAATGTTTGGATGGTTGATAAAGAAAATTAAATAACACTTGAAGGGACTTGTATGATTGTTAGAAATCTCAAGGACATTTGTATGCAACGTTTTATAATTAGTAGATCGGTCTCATTGAACCCTGCAATTTCAAAATTTTAGTCGTTTACCCTTGGCGCCAAAACTATCGACAACTTAATACCAAGGATTAGGGGTGCAAATAGATTGGATTCAGATCAGATCCGAGATCTAATCCTATTTGGTCAAATTTGGATCACCCTTGTTCGGATCGAATCATATCCAAATTACCCCCTATTCGATCTTATGTATATTATAACACACACACACACACATATATATATATGTGTGTGTGTTATTTATTTATTTATAAATATATTTTTTATATTATACATTTTATTTCTGTTATATTATTTATTTTTTTATAAAAACATGTATATATATGATGAAAATAATTTAAAAATACTTATATTTTTTGTTTTTACTTTGTTTAAATTAGTATATTTTAATTTTCTTTTAATAATTTATTAATTTATAAAGAAAGCAAGTCAGATCGGATCAAATATGAAAATCCAACTTACCGATAGGATTCGAATTCAAATCGAGTACTATCAAATCCAATCAAATCTTTGGATCATATCCGATATGAACAGTGTCAGACCAAATTTGAATATACCCTGATTTGAATCCAATCTGATCCATTTGCATCCTTACCAAGGATTGAACGATTCAGATTCATTGAGATCAAATCAACCCGAGCCCGATTCCAATGCTATGTAACCCGAGCTGGGGGTGTAAATATCCTTCGGATTTAGAATCAGAATGGTCTATGACTCTATTCCCTTCACCTATTTGGCTCAATCTAAATTGGAATTAGAATCAGAATTAGCTGGAATGGATTCTCATTCCTAGGGGAGGGGGAGGAAATAGCCATTCCACCCGATATGGGAATGGGAGTCCAATTCCCAACCAAAAAGTTGGAATTGAAATGGAACATTTTGATTTTGATTCTGACCACTATTCCCACAAATCAAACCGGCCCTTATTGCTTTGTCTTGATAAAGTTTTAAGCAGCTTTCTATATAATAGTTGGCTAACTGCAATTCCTTCATGTCAACAACTTTAGCCATCGTCAATAGTGGGCCCATCTGCAAGTCTCTATATACCCACTTGAGGTAGAGGAAAATTACAACAAAAAGTGATATATACAAGTTCTTAACGTTTAATTTTTATTAGAGTAATTTGTTTATCCGTCAGGTTCGGGCAGGGCTTTGCCTCTATATCTTAATAAAATACTAGCGGAGGGGCTCTGCATTGTAGGAGCTCGCTTATAAACTATCAGGCGCGAGCTTGATTCGAATTAGAGACTTGAGCTCAGATCGAATCAAAAGCTCGAAAGCTCGAACTCGACTACCTTTGATTGCAGGCCTCTTAAGCAGCCAAGGTATCAAGCCAAGGTTCTGAGCCGAGGTTTCCCTCAATTGCGAGGTGCCAAACCGAGGTCTCCCTCAACTGCTGAAGTGTCAAGCTGAGGTTTCCCTACCAGGTGAGGTGTCGAGCTAAGGTCTCCCTTAGTTGACAAAGTGCTGAGCTGGGGCCTCCTTTAGTTGTCGAGGTGCTGAGCCAAGATCTCCCTCAGTGACCAAGGTGTCGAGCCAAGGTCTCTCTCAATGATCGAGGTGTTGTCTAGCTCGAGCTCGATTTGAATTAGAGACTTGAGCTTGAGCTCAGAAGTTCGAGCTCAGCACGGCTCGAACTCGACTACCTTTGATTGTAGGTCCCCTAGCAATCGAGATGCCGAGATGAGGTCTCCCTCAGTTGGAGAGAGAGTTGCATTCTTATAATTTATAAGGAGAGGGAGAGATGACATTCTTGTAATTTATGAGAGAGAAAGGGTTGGTAGAAGAGAAAGTAGCATTATTGTAATTTGAAAGAAAAAAAGTAAAAGAGAGAAAGAGAGTTGGTAGGAGAGAGTGGCATTCTTATAATTTCTAAGAAAAAAAGGCAAAATATACTGTTAGATTCCATTTCGCTCATCCTTAGGCCTTCTTAATTACACATTTCAGCTTAATATATTTATATAGATATTTAGGTTTGAGCCCAAGCCTGCCCATCATATAAAGTTGAAACCTACGCCTAAGCCTGAAGCTTGACCAATAAGTTGGGTAAGAAAATTTTTTAATTTATTAATAAAACTAATTTATTTATATTTATATAAATGACCTCTAATTCAAAACCCAAAAAATACTAAAATATCTTACTGACTTGAAAAAAAAAATAGAGAAGATAAGCAAAGAAGAGAAATTAGGCTTTTTTGAGAAAATCCAAACCCAATCCGGGGAAGTAATTTGGAAATTGGCAAGAGATGTATGGATACTTGAGCCTTGGTTTCTACCAGCACCATTTACAATGGTTTCATGTCCATCTTCTTTGATCTCTGTTTTTCAAGCTTTTTTTTTTTCATTTTTGTTCATTGTTCTCCATTATTTTCCTTAAAGTAGCTCTTTAATCCCAATTTACAATGCTCATTTGTCATCGATGTGAATCATTTTCCCCATTGCATTTTTTTCCTTGAACAGTTCTTTAATCTCCAAAGAGAAACGCTCCCGAGAGAGAGAGAGAAAAAAAAAGAGATTTCAAACTCTTTAGGGGCAAACTTGGGTTTATGTCATGCAAACAGTTATTTACAGATGGCTAACAGAGGGGAGGTGCTTGTCCAATGACGTCACCTGATAGGGAAAGTCCTACAGGGAAGTTAATTTTATATATATATATATTAATGATTTTTATTACTATTTTTTATTATTGTTTATAAACTATCATTTTTTAAGACACTCATACAGTCTATGGGTCCACATAAATTGACCCTTATATGTCAAACCCATAAAATTATACGGGTTATTAAATTCAACTTGAACCATTTATTAC